ACATGGTAGCAATCTTCAAATATCTGAAGGGCTGCCATAATGAAGAGGAAAAACCTTTTTTCTCTTGCTGCAAAAAGTAGGATGTAGACTAATGGCATGAAACTGCAGCAAAGTTGGTTCAGACTGAATATCAGGAAAAACTTCTTTGGAATAGAAGTTAGATTAGTGAGGCAGTGGAACAGACTGCCTAGGGAAAATTGTGGACTCTCCATCACTGGAGGTGTTCAAGAGGCTGGATAGCCACTGGTCAGGGATGATGCAGGACTAGCTATGCCTCTATTCTACTATGGGGATTTCTTAAGTTTGTGGGCTTTGAAGGTACCCTCCACCCTTGCTGCTACATGTGTCAGGGTTGGGTTTTTTTAAGCCTTCCTCAGAGGCATTGGGTGTTGGCTGCAGTCAAGGTTGGGGATTTTGATTTGGGTGTGCCAATGCTCCTGTTGGGACTTAAAGCTGAGAGTTCCTGGCTAGACAGTTTTGCCCCTCTGCACAGGGTCAGACCAATCACCATATTTAGGGCCAGGAAGGAATTCTGCCCAATGGTCAGATTGGTATGGACTGTGGGTGGTTTTGCCTGCCTCTGTAGCAAGGGATGTGGCACTTTCTGGGATCTCTTGAACATATATTAGCAACCTTTACAGAAGCAGGGTGCTGGCTGCCTTGGTCGCCATGCTTTACCTGTGGCAGGTTTGCGTGTTGTATCTTGTGTTGTATCAGGGTTGACTGTGTAGTTTCCCTAAAAGGTTAGATTGTGGATTTGTATAGGATGGTTTGGAAAAAGATGATCATAACATAGGCTCCTTCCAGCCTGACTTCTCTATGATGCTATGAGGGTGGTCAAACATCAGAACAGGCTAGCTAGAGAAGCTGTGGAATCTCCATCCTTGGAGGCTCTTTAGAGAAATTTGAACAGGCACCTGGCTTGAATGACTTAGTCAGGGATGATCCTGCCTTGAGCAAGAGGATGAACTAGAAATCCTTGTGAGGTCCCTTCCAGCCCTACTTTCTTATGATCCTATGAATCTGAATGCTACAACAATGTAGATGTTTCCCTTTATAATTTCCTTTTTATGTTTCAATTAGGAGGAAATAAAATAGATTTATTGTGTTTAACAATGTAAGCATAAAAACTTTGAAGTTCAAGTCACATCAGTGTGAAGAGACTATAAGAGAGATGAAAATATCCAACTGCTTTTGTTTTTGTCAAAAATAATCTACAGATAACAAAACTAGCTTGAAAAGGCAGCAGTACATCTGTTCACTTAATATGGCCCTGAATCTGCCAGCTGATGCATACAGAACCTAAGGACTTTCCTGGGACTTTGTGTTGGTGCAAGTATCTGCCCCTGTTAACCAAAGTGAATCAGTGGGACACCTATATCCTCACAGCTGGAAAATTTAAAATAATGTTTTTAATGCAAGTTTAGTATTCTAAGGTAGAGAACTGTAAGAATGTGTAAAACTGCAATGACCATGACAACAAATAAGCTGGAAAGCATGTTACAGGAGGGGGGAAAAATCCTGTCTGCTTCCCACTGGCAAAAGCCAAGGAATAATAGTTATCTACCACCCAAAATAACTCCTGTGGGCAAGACTTTGTTGATGCACCTATAGAAGAGCACAACACAAACAGATTCCTTCTTTATTCTCACATGTCATAGCATGGGATTTTAAAACATTACCTGAGCTGTAATCACCTGAACACTAAATGCAACCATCACCACCAGCACTCCCATATTTGGCACTTGTTGCAGGTTAGCCATACACCAGGATTAAAGAGATCTGGATTCCAGATATCAGTTGTTTCCATATTTTAGAAGAGAAATGAGAGTAGCTTTGGCCTACATGCTACACTTTCACCCAAATACAGTATCAAGAATCAGTTAAGGACTGTAAGGTGAGATCCATGTCACTCACTGCTTCAAGCCTTATAGGCTTAGCTACCGCACTAGTTACTTTTCCTTGGACACCCACAGCTATTGGCTACAATACTCTGGTGCTGTGCTCCAAGATCAGGAGAAATCACTTCCCTTCATTGCAAGGGCTGCTGGGTGAACACACTGCCTTAATGGTATTGTCTTTTGTTCCCTATCCCACTAGCAGACCATGGTGGGATTCAAGAGCAGACTAAGTGTTCCCAGAACATTGATTTTATGTAGGAATCAGGGAAAACAAGTTACCCTGAAGCAAGTGCAATTCATTCTGACTGCTGGAGATTCAGAGAGGGAGTTTTCCTCTGATAAGCAATGTAGGAATTTACACCATGAAAGGAACAGCCACTCTTATGGAGGGAGCTTCAGTGAATGATTCAAGATTCATTCTCATGACTGATAAGAAGAAGCAATGGGTTTCTGTTTCTACACAGGTGACAACATACCTGCTAGCTGGAAGCTTTGGTAAAATGACACCTGCTCACTGTTCCAAAACCCTTCAGTGATACGTTTTCTGGCATAATTCTGTAGCTTAATAAATGATACTTAGGTCTGTCCATCAGCTCCTAGATGAATAAGCTCCTGGGACTGGAGTGAGGATCAATTCTGCTAACTGATGATCCTGTCCACCTTGAAGATGTAGACAACTGTTCCATTCTACATTGGTCCTTATGCCACCTTCTTCACCACAATATCAGAGCAGCTTCCTACAAATGTATTAAGTGGCATGACTAACATGTTATGGGTGGTTCATCCTCGTTTTTCTTCTCTCCAGGAAGGTTGTGTGCAAGTATAGCATTTTGATTTTTTTCCCCTCCCCATGCTTCCAAGCTGCTACATGTTTACATAAGAGAAGTTAAGGAACTGGGTGAGGAGATGGCCGTGTGTAGACAAAACGAGAGGTGTGTGTACACGACACTTTCAAGTGGGTTAAATGCTTTTGCACCGCTTTAATAGCATCGGTGTTTGCATGCTTTGGCAGCATATTCCGCATTAATTCCAGCTGCTGTAGGAAATTCGGAGCTGCCTGCCTGTCTGCCTGAGCTGCACAGGGGTCCGGTGCTTCCCTCTGCAGCTACAATGCCCCCTGCGGACTGCCTGAACCGGGTGCCTGTGGGCAGGTGCCACCTGGGGGGGGCGCCGCTGCCGTGGAAGGAAGCACTGCACCCCCCCCCCCAAAGCCCAGGGACCGCTCCACCCGCTGGTGGCTAGATAATCACCTAGCCAGGGTCGTTTGACCCCAGCATCCTTTCCTGCCCATGGCAGGGAGTTGGACTTGATGATCTGCTCAGGTCCCTTCCAACCCTACAACTATGAAAGGCAGAGACTTTGAACTTAACTGAATATGCTCTAGAAATCCAATTCACAGAGTAAAGTTGTTGGCGAGAAAGGACTTCTATTTCATACGCTTGTAAGCACTTGAAAGGCACTGACTAGGATTGATTGCATTATTCTTGACTTCCTCTTTCACACAGAGTGAAAGAAACAGGTATCCTTAAGAACACAGACAAATCAGAGTACGGAAAATCTTGACCGGTTCTTTCGTTGCTTCGAAAAGGTAGATAATCTTTATTTGTGGGGAGGGGAAAGAAGTCTTGCCTACTATTGTACCCAATATGGACAGGACAAGTAGTTGGTTTAGCCAACTGTTTTTAATTACTGAATGAACGTGTATGAGAGTGGAAAACCAACATGTTTCTCATTGATGAGATTCTCTGTAGAACAGCTTTTCCAAAGCCACTGCAGAGATGGCATGCACTGTACGTACAACCAGCCCTGGCCCATTTGATCTCAGTAGGTCCCATCACTGAAGCAGTACATAGCCTGGGAAATCCTTGGTTTCCATAAAGATCTCTCACAAATCTTTCCTGACTGAAATATATGTCAAGTGAAAAAGGTAAATCCTGTAAAGAAGGAGAGCCCAGTAGGAAAGCACAAGAGAACTCCCTCCTCTCCTTAACTACTGTAGTAGACATTGGGCCATTCATTGAGACTCCCTCCATAAGTTTGTCTAGCAGAGGGGCAAGAGACTCATCTTCAACAGCAGCTGTCATGTCACCTGTGCCAGCAGGAGTTGCAGGTGAGAAACTTAGGAAAGAAACTGAGTCATCCATTTCAGCCTCTGAAGTGTGGGTTAAAAAGCCTATCAGTACTGGTCTTAGAGCAGCAGGTCTCATACGAGAACACAATGCCTAAACAGCAAAAAGGCTGCAGCATGAATGTGCAAACTGTCTCATTACCAGGTCAGATGCATTGTTCTGAGCTTGTTTACATCCAAATTGGCCCATCTGTCAAGCAGCCAGGACCAAATTAAGCATTAACTCTGATTTAATATTCTATTGAAAGAGACTCACAGAGTGTTACAGCTGCAACTGAAATCCTAGTTTAGTGGAGCTATTGAAGATTCAGGTTCATAAGAAAAATCAAAGCCTAAACCTCATGAGGAAATGAATGGCCCTGTGATGAAAAAACACTACCAGCAGGAAGACTTCAATATCAAAGTATGAATCATATGACCTATACAATTTCTTCATACCATACTGTTTCCTATACAAGATAAAATATATATACAAGTCAGTGCTGTAAGTTAGAAATGCATGTTTAAATTAAGATACTTAATAGCCTGAGACCTCCTTAACACCTTTCAATTAGGACCCCTTGAAGCTTAAAAGGGAGAGAAGGCACATAAAAAACAAACAAAAGCTCAAAAATGCCACATATCCCCAGAATCTATAAAACTGAGTCTTTGTAGCCTGCTGGAAATGATTCCTCTTCCTATACTTCTATTTATTATCAGTTTCACTGTGAGGGAACATGTAGGGCCCAGAACACAAGTGGAAGCCTCCGATTTTGAAAACTGTCAAAGGATTTGGGGGGGAGGGGGAGAAATCACAAAAGGGCCCTGCTTAAAAACCAGATCAAAACATGGTGTTTTAAAAATTTTTCAAGCAAAAGTTAGTCAATTCCACCGCCAAGCAAATTTTGAAATTTAATAAATGGGGAGAGGGAGGAATCAAACTTAAAGGCTAAACAAAGATGTCTTAAGGCTTAAAAAAAAAAAAAGCTTACCTTGCAGCCTTCACATGTAATGACACCATAATGGATTCCTGATGATTTGTCTCCACAGATCTTGCATGGAATAATTTCAATTTGAGCTGCAACAGAAGCACACAACCAGTTAATTACATTTCCTTTTAAACACCTTATAAAAGCATTCCCTGATCAGCATTTGTACAGTGGAAACTAATAACCTGCTAAACATTATACCGCATTAACTATTCATTGCTGAACTGTGAGGGTCCCCCTGGAGCCTTGGACTAAATTATGGCTGCTCATTATATAATAGCTTTCGGGTTATTAAAATGGGTCATTTGAGAAGGTGTTTAAGAAACCACAAGAAGGCTAGAATCAGCATTTCAAATCCAAAAAAGGACAGGAGAGATCACATTTTGGCCAAAGAGATACTGAAAGGTTTCCCTTCAATCTACTTCCTTCACAGCCATTACAAAAGGCCATAAAACCTTGTCCTGCCTGAAAACCCAGGATATATGAACAAAACACTGTACACAGAAATGTTATAGGGCCATCTAATCTACAGTACAGACCAGTTCTAGAGAGTTAAATGCTGTAAATACTAGCAGTATTTTCAATTAAAGAATCAAAATGCATATAAAAGTGTTTGCATTAATACCAGAGCTGAAGACTACTTAATATCCAGGCTGAAAATATGGCAGTCCTTTAACTGCCTTGCAGTTTATCTTCCCTTATCTCCCCTCTTCTTGAGAAGATGAGCTCTGTGAAAGCATTGCTTCTTTATCTTTGAGATAAAACAGGCTATTCCAACTTTTCTCTGAGCCTAATCTGCATAAAATGAACAGTTCCAAACAGGTGATTTTACCACACCTTCAACTCTCCTATTTAATCTGAACTTTCATTTCTACCTAGGAGGACTTTTACAGGCTTTTCTCTTATGCCTGAAGAAGTGTGCTTGTACCCACAAGCTTGCAAATAAAGAGGGTTTTTTTGCAATAATTTAGTTGGTCTAATAAAAGATATCACCTCTACCATGAGTTCTGATTCCTTTTGCTTCTTTATCAAATTTTCTGCATACAAGTTCATCAGAGTCAAGTTTACCATGCTATGTAGCTCTTCAAGCACATCTTTAAAGCATGGGGTACCTGTCTGGCCAAGCAGAAATGATGTGGAATGTGCATTAACAGAAAATCTGTTCTTCAGACATAATATACACATCCAACCCAGTACTAAATTCCATTTTTTAAAATGGCATTTGCCAAAGAACTGTCAATTTATACACATTTTAACCAAAATTTCTGAGAAAAGTTTGTGCAACTTGGTGGGACTAGTTTACCCTGATTTCCATTCAAACTTGATCTGACCTGCTCCACATAGGAGAATCTCACAGAAGCTGGTGAAGTTTCTCCAAATATAATGGAGGCTCTTACCATGATTTACTTACTACCAGAAGAGCAGTTTTAATCCAGTCAAACATTGCCTCTAGGAGATTTATTTATTTTGGTAACTTTGTAGCTGTCCAGCATCAGATTAAGACTATGATATCACAAACTTCATCAAGTACTTCATCATAATGTCTCTGGGTACCTTAATATTATTCTCAACAAGGGTCCATATGGTAAATTTTTCTGCTTTCCAGACTAGGAACTGACTATTCTCTGTACTGTTAAGCCCCACATACATTAAACTATGTTATGAAAATGCTTATTATTAAGCAAGAAGCATCTCTCAACTCTGCTCTCCACTCTACCTAAATGCAATCTTTCTAAGTATTGGATCAGGCTTGATAAAGTATTTTGGCTGTAATGTTGTAAGTGAGCATGCTGAAATCTGCTTGAAGCATGTGGCAAATGCATGTAAAGTGCAGTGAACAGAGCAGCTACTGAACAACACTGACTTGCCTCTGAATCAAACAGCAGCTAATATGCTCTGCTTATTAGTACCCAACAATGATGCGACTACATAGCTACTTTACTGACATTTTTGCATCAGTGCTTCTCAAATATGTTCCTAGTATAGAATCAGTTGCATGTGGTGTCCTATCTTGGACATCTCCTAATTCCTGATGTTAAATCCCATGCTTTCCCTCGAGAAATTCTAACTGGCTGAAATGAAAGTGTCATATTAGGACTCTTAAGGACACAGGTCCTCCTTCCTCAGCCTCTGAAAAACATCCTAATTTTACATTGCTGCTCAGCTCACACAATGGACATAATGGGCAGGAAGCTACAAAAGAAAGAACCATTGCTGCATATTATTTTATTAACATTTTATGTAAATTAATTATTTACTAAAACAAATTGCATACACAAGTGTTCATGAAAGAAGCTTTGCAACAGGAAACAGCATTATCCCCTCTTTACAAATAGAAAATATAGGCATCGATATTAAACAACTGCCCAAAGCTGCATAGAAATTCTGAGATCCATTTCTGAATCTCAACTCCAAATCCCAGGTCAGCACTTCAGAGCAATGTTTGCTGGTGTGCATAACCAACCCATTCTAACACCTGTTGGAGGTCAATAGTAAGACATAAATAAACGGCAACAAATTTTTATTACTCCAGTTTTATCTATGTAATCACTGCCTTTTTACTGGTAGAAACTGATGTAATAGTTTGTATATCATCATCATCATCAACAAAACATTAATTAAAATTCCTACCTACGGTCTGTCTACAAAGTAGACATTTCTTTTCGTACAGTTAAGCAACAGGCTATCGGGAGTACATTTGTGAAGGGAACATAACCACACAGTGCTGGCCCAGTGCTAGTTTACTAGGACTATAAAGAGGTGTAATAATTATATTAATACATTGCATAGAACATCTAAGGCAGGGGTGAGAAAAATACGGCCCACAGGCCGGATCCAGCCTGCCAAAATATTTGATCTGGCTTGCAGGTGGGCAACTGCCAACCCACTGGATCTGCCCACAGTGGGCCAGCAGCTCCAGCCACTGCGTTGTGCTGGGTGGAAGGGGGGACTGCTTCGGCCCAACAGCATCAGACATCAGCTGTGGACCTGGGTGGGGCTTCCTCCGCAGCAGGTGGGCGGTGGTGTCAGTTCTGGATGCCACAGGCAGGTTCAGAAGCCCGATTGCAGAACCTGCTGGCAGAGTCCACAGCTGACCTGCAGCCCTCTCAGAGCGGTGGAAGCTCCCGCCCAGAGCCTGACTCAAAATCTGCCAGAGGCATCTGCCTTGGACCCATGCAGGAGCTGCTGCAGCAGCAGGTGGGCTGTAGCATCTCTCTCTGTCTCTTCTCTTCTTTCTCTCCCTTCCCCACCCCCTCCCTCCAGAACCTGGCCAAAGCTGAGCCATCACCTGCCTGGCACAGCAGCAGCTCCTGCCTGGCTCCACAGTTGAGTGTCAAGGCCCCTGGGAAACTACAGCTACAGCCAGGTTCTGGAGGAATGAGAGGGAAGGAGGGGAGTAGGGGAGGGGCAGGGAGAGAGATGGATGTGGCCCTTGACAGGTCCCCAAAACTCATTAAGTGGCCCTCCATCCGAACTAATTGCCTACCCCTGATCTAAGGCATAAGGAAGAAATGGTTAGATCCTGGCCTTGGTAACATCTACTAATTGTTCCAAGGGCACTAAGTTAGGTACAACAACTTCAGAACTCCAGATTTCTAATAATCTTTAATACGCTTACATTCAATTACTATACAGCATTTAATACCTCAACTTTTCACTTCTGAGCTACAATACAGTTGGACAAAACTCAGAAGCATAAATTGCTTGCCATAACCAATTGTATTATAAATTAATGCTTGGAAAGACATCGGATCAATTACTGCTCTAAGTGGTTGCTTGTGCAAATCCACTCATTAAAATGGAATTCCTGTCACAAGTTCATACACCTTCTGTATTAAAGGGCACAGATCCTTTATACCCAGAGAATGCAAACTGTCAGTATGGAGACTATGCTTTTTTATCATACGAGTGAAAATGTTACTGTCCTATTTCTCATTTTTAACTCTGCTGTGCAAATATGTGCTTACTAAAATCTTGTTCATATGCAAACATGACACATGGGAAATATTTTGTGTATCAAGAATGTTACAGCTTGGTAGCATGCATTCCCAGACTTACTTAAAGCTTCCTTCACTATTAACGTTAATTGTGCCTGTTTAGTATTTACACATATTTATACAATATATTTTTCTAGGTTACATAAAATACTGTAATTCATGTTTTAGGCTAGAATTAGCCTAAATTACAGTTTACAACTCTTGTGGTTGCTTAGGAACTGCTATAGATACCCAGGTGACAGATGTAGTTTGTATTACCAGATTAGAGGCCTAGGAATATTCAACGTTCTGGAATACCAGCGGACCAGAATACTGCTGAGAGCCCTGTGCAAGGAAGAGGACACATTGGCCCCCCAAGACACTGTATGGAAAAGATGCACTAAAACAGTAAATACAGACGCAAACTAGCCACACTTCACCAGCTGAGCAAGCCACCATAGAAATAACTTTTGAGAACAAGAAGTGGTCACTGAAGGTCTGAGACAGTCCTGAACAGACACCCAACAGAGGCAGAAGAAACTCACCAGCCACAGGGGTCCAAACGATCCACTGTGACCTCCTGACCTCTACCGTACCTCTAAGGCCTGCTGTCACATGACAATGTCACACTCTAACATATTATCTCTATTAGACTCCTGGGAAGGGAAGTAAAAGGCTCCTTTACATTTGGGGAATTTAAGTGCAGAAGATACTGACTTTAACAAGGTCACACAGGAAAGCCAGTGGCAGAAGAATTCAAAAGTCTTGTAAGTAGTCATGATGGTGTCCTAGCCACTGGACCATCCTCCTCCTCTCCCAGATGTCATTATTTTGGTGTTTTATGAACTGGTTCTCTTGCTTCAGGGTGGCCCAGTTCTTACTGGCACCTGTATAGGAAGCTTTAACAGAAGAATTCTCCCTTCATTTCCTCCCACTCTCTGTGTCATTCCTTCCTACCTTTGATCCCAGAAGAGTTTCCTACACTTATCTGTCCAAGTACCCTCTCACTACCCCTCCTGAAACCCACTTCTTCAGGTAATCTCTCCTCACTGTACTTTCCCACATGAAACACTAGCTCATGCCTTACGTCTGAAGCGTAAGCTCTACAGAGC